AAGGAACAAGGCAAAGAAAAGACTCCAACTTTTAAAGAAACTCGCAAGCAGTTCATGGGGATCAGACAAACAAACTCTTAGAGCTCTATACCTTGTTTATGTCAGATCTTCCCTGGAATACAGCAATAGCCTACTCACTATGTGCAGTACAACTATTTGCAACACCCTTGACAAGGTCCAAAACAATGCTCTTCGTTTTATAAATGGTGGAATGAGATCCACACCTACTGCCGCGTGCGAAATCCTTGCAAATGTTGAACCCCTGGGAATCCGCAGAGATAAAGCAGTTTTGGAACTACACGAAAGAACAAAAAGAATGTGCCCCAACCACCCAAACAGGAAATTAGTAGAAACATGGAAACCAAAGAAACGAATTCAACAAAAGTCAATCATGCATCACATCACAGAACTAATGGAGAGTCACCATCTACCACAAAACAAAAGAAACCCAAAGAGTCAACCAAAACATCCCTCCCCACCTTTCTTTAAAAAAGCCAATCATTACAACATCTCTCAAAAACAAGAGCACAAAATCGTCAGACCCAGTGACGCTGATGCTTGCATCACATCAAACAATCGACAGCTATTCAGATGACTGGATACACATCTATACGGACGGCTCAGCATTTAAAGGCACAACCAAAGCCGGATATGGAATACTAATATAGTACCCAGATGAAAGTTCCAATGAGATCTCTGCAGCCTGTGGAGAGAAATGCAGCAACTACGATGCAGAAATGATAGCAATTGAAATAGCACTGTACCATCTCCGTACAGTTTTTGACACTCATCCTGGAAAAGCACAGAGCACTGTGATTTTCACTGACTCACTATCAGTATTACAAGCCATAGAAAATGACCATCATCTAAACCAAGATTTGACCCATATAACTATTTGGACCCCATCATCTGATAACATTCTGTGGCATCAACCTAGTAATTGAGTGGGTCCCCGGACACTCAGACATACCTGGAAATGACAGAGCAGACACACTTGCCAAACGGGGATCTAGACAGGAACAACCCAACATTCCAACTTCATACAACACTGCAAAACAAATCATCAAAAGCAACAACAAACAAGATTGGATGAACAGATGGGTCATGGGAAAGACAGGCAGAGCAGTTTTCAAACATATGACCACAACAAAAAGGAATGACAATATCAACCGCCTTCAGAGAAAGAAACAGACCACGATCTTCCGCCTACGAACAGAACATATACAGCTCAACTTCCACCTGAACAGAATAATCCCGGAACTTCCCCCAATGTGTCCCTTGTGTGACTATGCATATGAGACTGTGGATCATCACCTGTTCCACTGCACAGCCCTAAATGACAGAGCTACCCTTCTCCCTCAGAGACCTAACATTGACAACAAACTCTATGGAACTTTACAGCAAGTGCAGCAAACCTGCACTTATCACTACATGGCATTGGACAGAAGGGCGAGAGCCCAGCTGTTGCTGGATCGATAACAACAACAACAACACGTTTTTACACTCATCTAAAAATCTCTAGACTAGCTCTTGAACATTGCATATATCATGTAGATCTAGATCTAGACCCAAAAATTTGCTCCTTCCCAGACCACGCGGCACGCATGGAATGGCATAATGAAAGTTGGCGCCGAACTCTCGCCAATAGGCAAAAAAATCACGATACCGGAAGCCGTAAACCGTTCAGAAAAATAAAGATCGGCACTATTTCTCCGAACGTTCTGAGAAATACTTGAAATAGCCACTTCGTTAATTTAATAGGCCTCTATTCCTTATATTATGATCTAAACTTAAACTACTTTTATTAACTCACTTCAGACGGTTCACACAACAGTTGCGTGACCCCCGCCGCGATGCCTCCCACAAGCCCTGCGTGACCACCTTTGGATTTTTTTTTTCGCTCTACAAATCACACACGGATCGCGGGACACGCCTCATACCCTTGTTTGGCCAAGCCTGAGCTACTCAGACTTCATTTCGTATCTCTGGGACCCGTAGTTTTCAAGTTATTGAAGGTGAAGGACAGTGACCCCAACTAGGGTTGAACTGACCGGAACTTCCATTTTAAAAATATTCTACAGCTGATAGTAATCCGACAGTCGCGTCGTAGTAACGGTCGAAGAAGTCGCATGAACAAGAATTACATTAGAATTTCGCCGTTTTCGATACTTCTGTACGTTTTACTAGTTCTAATGTCTCAGAATACGATGTGTCTGATAGTCAGGATCCTGGATATGTACCCGAACATGGCCGGAGTCGTAGTTTTAGGGCTAGATCTAGTGTTGTTGTTTGCGCAACGAAATCACGACATCGTGCCGTACATTTGTCTCATGTAATTCAGTGCATGGGTCTGAATCAACGCACAGACCAGCTTTTATACTTTCACCAAACACTCACACATGCATACAAATCAAAATAGTAACACTTTGAACTTTTATTTTTGTTGTTGTTGTAAATCACATTTCATTCGACCTGTCATGTCTGTGGAAATTTTTCGGAAAATCAAATTCAAATTCATGCCAATTTTTAAAAAATCATATAAATTAAAGTATTAGACTTAGACAATTTTAGTTTTTTGTGTTAGATTAAGCTTGAATGTTACTTTACAATATACGGTAATTCTGAGAGTTGTGGTGATTTATTCAAGGCCATCTCTATTCTCACCGCGGGTGAGAATAGCGCAGGCGAGTCTTTTGGCTATTCTCACCCGGTGGGTGTTCACCGTTTTAGCTTAGGCTAACCAGTGAAGCGTTCACCCTGAACCACAGAATTCTACATTGTAATACAGAATTGTAGAATTCTGTGCTGTGAACAAACGATTTAGATCTATTACTACTGTTACTGTTAGTGTTAGCCTAATACTAAAAGCGTGCAATTTTGTCTGTGGGCAGTGGAGAGAGAGAAAGAGAGAGACAGAAGTAGCGCGAGAACTTCCGGGCAAAACAAAATGGCGACCCGCGTAGTTCGGCTCGATTCGGAAAGTTAAATATAGCCGTAGCATCTTTGTAGACAACCAAATTAATTTAGTTTTGTTTTTTAGCATCATTTTTAAACTTTGTTTTGGTCAATTTGATCGTCCACACCGATAGACAGTATTCAGAAAGAGACAGAGAGAGAGGGGGGGGGGGGGGGAGTAGATCTTGCGAGAACTTCCGGGCAAAACAAAATGGCGACCTGCGTAGTTCGGCTCGACTGAAAAGTGAAATAGCCATAGCATCTTTGAAGACGATCAAATTAGCTTACTTTTGTGCTATAACGTAATTTTTTCTTGGCTTTTATCAATTTGATCCTCCACATCGATTATAGACAGTATTCCAAAATGAGAAAAAACAGGTCTTGTTTCACACCGGGTGAGAATAGCCTACGCTGGCAAGTCTCACCCGCGATGAGAGGTAGATCGTATTTTTATTCTCACCCCGGGTGAGAATAGCCACTTCCTTTATTGAAATACTCTGAAAAACGCCAGTCTTCAACGCTTGTGACTGGTGAAAGGGTCCAGTAGTAAGTGAGTTAATAAAGTTCAGACCAGTCACATCTAAAGTATGATCTCTATAAAAATACAGATTTTTCTCTCATTGCTGTTACTGTCTGTACACTACTCTAGAGTTACAGCTAGATTCTAGATCTAGATATAGATTCTAGATCTAGATTCTAGGGCACACACTCTCTGCAGATTGTCCATTGTCTGTTCTGACACAGTGTCACTTAGTAGGGTGATCTTATTATCTTTAGCACGTTAAATTCCCAAAGACCTTCAAAACTTTGAACTGGGCCTAAAAATGCGGACACTAGATCTAGATGTAGCTACCGTAATTTTGTCATGAACAGATGGTATAACAGTGGTTTTCGGTCTTCCATTGTGATTTTGGAAGCCATTGAATATACTCTTGATTAGATAGATCATGTTTTAAAGTGGTCGCTCGTTACGGAAAAGGGAATAAAATCAATAGAAGAATTTAACTTGCTAAAAGTACAGAGTAATAGTTTATAGTATAAAGATCGGCGATTGTTAAGATTCCCGCGTTTAATTCCGATGTGCGTTTTTCATACCCTCAGGCATATATTTCACTTTGGCCACTTCTATTCTCACCCGGAGTGAGAATAGTGCAGGCGAGTCTTGTGGCTATTCTCACCCGGTGCGCGTTCACCAAATTTTGCGTTCACCCTAAACCACAGAATTCTACACTGCGATAACAGAAACATTGTAGAATTCTGTGCCGTGAACAAACGTTCCATTACAACTGTAGCCTACTAACAGCGTACAATTTTGTCTGTGGGCAGTGAAGAGAGAGAGGAGTAGCGCGAGAATTTCCGGGCAAAACAAAATGGCGACCCGCGTAGTTCGGCTCGATTCGGAAAGTTAAATAGCCGTAGCATCTTTGTAGACAACCAAATTAATTTACTTTTCACTTTTGTGTTTTAACATCATTTTTTAACTTTGTTTTGGTCAATTTGATCGTCCACACCGATAGACAGTAGAGATAGAGAGAGAGAGAAGAGGGGAGGAGTTGATCTTGCGAGAACTTCCGGGCGGGTGAGAATAGCCACTTTCTTTCACTTTGGTCCCTAACCCAAGGTTAGGGTTAGGGTTAGGGTTAGGGTTAGGGCCAGGGTTAGGGTGGACCAAAGCGAAATATGCCTGAGGGTATGAAAAACGCACATCGGAATTAAAATCGGGAATCTTAACAATCGCCTAAAGATCACCAGTAGTAGTAGATCTAGATCTATATCTAGATCTATATCTAGATATCTAGATTCTAGAGATCTAGATCTAGATCTAGATCTAGATCTATCTATCTAGATTTCTAGATCTCTGTACAAGATAATTGTGAGCAGTCCTCTGGACACAGTCCTTTAGTTTTAGTCTGTGGTGGAACTGAGCTTACACATAACATACACAACTTCACTTCACAGTACTGTAGACTACGTAGTGTGCGTGTAACTGTACACTCTTACTAAACTAAGATGTAAGCATGTAAACAAGATAAAGAGAACGTTACCGTGCCGTAGCCGTAGTCGTAGGGTTGGCCTGGGCCCCGAGTGGTAAGAACAGAATATGAACAAATTAGTCTAAAATGGGTTTAGAAAAACGCTGAGGGCTCTTCAAAAGTCCAACCAAATGCTATGAAAAGACTCAAACCATAGCAATGCATTTTTATCTTGAAAATTGACTTTGTAACAGTTACTGGGCCATGATGAGTAGGCCTAAAGTTTTATTTTTAAAGTGAGAGATCATTTTTCACCAATTTCTATTCTCCCAATCGGCTTTTGACACACCGGAAGTTTCAGTGACAAACATTGGAATGAATGACAGGGTTATCGCACTTGAAAAATTGAAAACTTGGTCGTCAAAAATTTAAGTAGCCTAGGCCTAGCTGGCTAATCGAAGTAACCTCTAACTCTATAGGCTATTGGGGTTAATTAATAAAAAATATAATAAAGTACCCTCTCAATAATGATAAGAGTAATAATAATAAATAAAAGGATAAGAATAAAAATTATTATTATTATTATTATTATTATTATTATTATTATTATTATTATTATAGGGCCTCATGTAATAATTGTCCAATTTTAGGTTAACAGCTAGCAGCTTAGGTCAAACCCCTCAAAATCTCAATTATTATTTATTTTCTTTAGGTACTGGTATTATTTATTTTTTTTATGTACTGAATTAATTGATTATTTTAATAATTATTCATTTCTTTTTCTTTTTTTTTTTTTTTTTTTGGGGGGGGGG